CTATATGCTACATACTCTAATTAAGAAAAAAATATTTAGATATAGATGGGTATACAATGGTTTGGCTAGTTCTCCTAAACTTAAGTGCGTCTGTTTGTGTGCGTGTTAAAGCGTATGTACAAGTACTTAGAAAAAGTGATCCAATGTCAGCCCCAGGTCATCAAGGCTTAATGACTCAAGATAAAGCATGACCGAGATTGCGTAAGCACTTAAGTGACTCCGGTTGAATTGATGAAATATGATCCTATACGAGTGTAAATCAAGTTACGAAACCACCAGGCATCTCATCTCTCTCTCTTTCTCTCTCAATATATGTATATATATATATATATATAATATATAATATATATACATATATAAACCTCAGGAATAGTTAAAGATATCAAAAAGTTAAAAGATGTGGGCTCACCCAAATTGTAGGATAAAAAGTTTTGTCTATCTGACTTGCGAAGAAGAATCTCTTCTCGACTGACTACCTGATAGTCATCGAGAAGCATTCCAGGCGCCAGAGAACCTGGGCCGAAGAGGGATTTGCCGATTTCAATCCCAATGTCAACTACAAGCATGTAGGGCTTTGGTATTTCTGACTGACAATTGGGCGCCAACGGTGAGACTACAGCTGTTACAAGTGATGTAGAAGAAATCTGTGTACTGTAGGCTGGATGCGACAGGAGTGAATTCGAAGCCATGGATGGAGAACAAACTAACAAGAGGAGATAGGAATGATGAATCGAAATCCCCGAGATAAAGTCATCGGCAAGCTCAAAGTGATGCCAGACCTCCACATATCTTGTTGGCAAACCCGGGCCATAAAAGGGCCCGACATGAGCCATACTCTGGTCTTCCCGAAGACTGGTTTTGCTGCCATCGACGTGAGCGTAGAGTTGTCTCGAGTTTTGACTTGCCGAACTATTTTGGCTGGTCAGGCTTCCATGTCTCACCGGACTCCCTTGACTATCACGACGTGCAACGCCACTAACACCAAGGGAGCGCAGATGCCGCGGCGTAACACCTGTTCGCTCATTAATTTGACACACACGCATAGATTTGCCCCAGCCAATCAAGAAGCAGTTATTGTTGCACCAATAGAGTCGACAAGGATGAAGATCGGAGGGAAATCTAAGTAAACGAAGAAAAGTAAGATGATTTATTTAGAATATTAATGTAGGAGAGTAGCTACAAAATAGGCTTTTTAAAGAGCTTACTTCAAAATTTACAATATATTCGCTTTAAATTAATCTGTATTTAAGGCACTAAAGGTGAAGTTAGTTTATAGGGAAAAAGAAATTTTTAGTATACACTCATATTAGATTCTCCTGCATATCATTCAAAAGAAATGTTTGCATCTCGTTACAAAAGGTGGGTGGATGGGATTTGTAAATTGGCCCCATAGAAAACTGAAAATGGAACCCCTGGGCGATATTAATGTTGATTCGAGCGCAAGCGTCCTTGACGAGCCATCCTGCGACTCGTATAATCAGTGTTGAACTTTTGTCTCTCATGTGACGGACGACGTTAGAGCAAAAAGTTTATTAAGGCAGACTTTAAAAAACATCAAGCCTAATGGCGGCTAGCTGTTATCTTGCCTACGTCTTACAGCCTAACTTTTCCTACTTAATTAGGCAACCCATAAATTAATTAATGCTTTATTTACATGATTGCAGATAAGTGAAATAGCTGTGGATAACGACTGAAGTGGATTTGGTCGCTACAAAGCAGCTGGTTCCCTTACAAAAATGTCTTCCAACCTGCTCAAAAGACGCATCCACATGTACTGGGATCCGTTTACATGCTGAATTTATTCAATAATTCATTACTCTTCTCCTAGAGCTAGCAGAGTGCAACATCATGACATTAGTGGAGTGGTCCAGCCATCTGTCCTGCTCCAAATATATATTTTATATAATCTAATTTCCCGGTATTTTAAAAGAATCGTAAAGTATTCCTAAAGGGTTATTGTTCCCCCCCAAAAATATTCCCCAACCGATTCCCTGGACTCGATTATTAATATATGCTAGACGAATATATTTATCATCAGTGATCTCACAACTCCTGAGTTAACATCAGTTAATTTACGAAAAGAGATTAAGAAGCAAATATTCGCAATTTTTTAATATATAACTTGGCCCAATTTGTTTCCCCCTTTAATAAATGGAATAGCCAAATAATGAATTGAGTGTTTCTAAAATTAGACAATCCTCCAACTGAGTTATACAATTATGGCTGAAATTTGGGAAAAAAACGAATCCATAGCTTAACTTCGTGTTTAATCATGCAAATGCCATTACATGTAAATAAGTAACAGCTCCCTATTAAATTCGTCTCGTTCACGGTTTATGAATTGCTTAACAGAATTTTTATTGTCGATAAGACCAAGAAAGTAGAGCCATCGATATGGTCGCCTTCTCCTTTAGCCGTATAGCGTTGGTTTGACCTCGCTTATTAGAGGGAAAAGGGAGATCTCATCAAAAAAAAGTCAGTGGGGCGTCAGTATAAGCAGTTACATCTAAGAGGATTGTCGTCACTTACCACTTCGATGAGCTATAACTATGTGTTTAGTCTGGCACCTCTCACTGATGATGGTGGCGAAATGACTACATATATACTAAGCCAAAGGCCTGATGTTGGAATTAAAATGAAGACAAGTTGTTTCGAAGAATCTCTTGTTTCATAATTGTTGAGTTTACTTCGATTTCGAGTGAAAGTTTGGTGAAGAGATTCAAAGGTAGATTTTAACAGAAGACGACGGCGGATCCCACTTTACCAGCTGTCGATTGGCTTTGCTGAAACGTTCATGGTGACGCTGTTTCCAATGTAATCTCCTTCGAATCCGATGAAAAGGTGTAAAGCTTTCGTCCGGTTCTAATCATTGTCACTTCTGCGTACTTTTTGCTCACTCTTTCTCTCTCGCATTAAGACTAAAAACAAAAAATAGGCTAATAAACAAAACCAGACGTGTGCCCGACCTTGCGCAACGGAGTGATGGTTATAGCATGTATGTAGTAAGGGGGAGATAGTGGTCATCAAACCTTGATGGCCGAGTACAGAAGTTACGTTTATGGTCCTAATTACTTTGAGCCATCACTGCGGGTTTAGTGTATAGACACATACACATACAGAGACAGACAAACTCATAGGCTTCGAGGTTGACATATGACCGTAACTAACCAAATCACTTTATACTTGATCAAAGAAGCCAGATATAGAGTATATAAACCCCTTTTTAGGGATTTACCCGTTAGTTTTCTTAACTGGTTAGCTTGAATTTGGTTATGAAGATAATACGTTGCTCTGATGCTCGGCATATGAGGGACGAAAGCTTAACACCTTTTCATCGGAATCGAAGGAGATTACCTCGGCGTCACCATAAATGTTCCAGTAAAGCCAATCGACAGCTGGTCAAGAGGAATCTGCCGTCGTCTTCTGGTGGAATCGACCTTAACTCTCTTCACCAAACACTTTCACTCGAAATGGAAGTAACGCAACAAATAAAATGAAGAATATGGCAAGGAAATCAGGACTAAGTACATTCTAACGGTTATCTTTTTCCCCTGATTAAGTTAAGAAAAAAAGGTCAAACCAACAGCAACCTAGCCTAGACTAACTTCTAGCTAGATTATAAATATGTAGACCAAGATGGTGCAGCCTTTGTTTGGTCGCATTCTCTTTTAGCTTTATAGTGTTGGCCCGACCTAGTCTTCGCAACGTGGTCGAAGTGTCATGGAGGCCTTGTGGAATGTTGGGAATGTACCAAATTAATGGTCCGATGCTGGGCATCACGAATACTATGGCAGAAGACACAGGACTAAGTACATTTTGCAAAGTATACTCGATGTTCCGATCAAGTTGCGAAAAAGAGAGCGAACCAACACTAACTTTTAGCTAATTCATAAAACTGTCTCAATAAAAGCGACCAAAGCTAGAAGAGTTACTTTAAGTGGATACAAGCAAGTGTGACTCTAAGCCTCACATAAAGTTAGTATTCACAAAAATTCCAAGTGAGACTCCTTTATTTATTTTGGGCAGACTAATTTACAATAAACACATAAAAAAATAGGAAAAAAAACGCATTCACAACGAGATGCGAGGCCTATGAATGGATATGATCTGCCCAAAATGTATAAATGGGACTCAATTATAAGTATTATGAATAACAAGAGTCTAATGCCGCATGTAACACAACGATTTATTGGCAACCAATTAAAGTAAATGTTATAAACTCATCGACAACAAATTCGAATGAATTTGCAGGCTAGTAGATGAGCAGGTACTAGAAAGAGGGAAATTTCTTTTCCTTGATGTGGTATCAATGCGCGAAATGCCTGACAAGAGGATCGAAATAGACACAAGATCAACTCGCAAGGACCAAAGTTAATAAAAATGTATTTAGGTTGTTTGACCTTGTTTTCGCAACTTGGTCATATTGGTAGGAAGACTTAGAATACACCTAGTCCGAAGTCCATTGTATGCATGATCATTTCCAGAGTAGGACCGGACTAGTTTTTCGCAATATGACCAAATTACGAAAACAAGGTCAAACAACCTCTATACAACGAAAGGAGACTGCGACCACACAAAAGGCCACACCATACGGTCTTCATATCTTTGATGGTAAGGATAGTTTAGATATTTTATTGTTATTAATTAACCAGATTGACTGCTCGAAAACAAGGTCAAACAACCTCTATACAACGAAAGGAGACTGTGACCACACAAAAGGCCACACCACGGTCTTCATATCTTTGATGGTAAGGATAGTTTAGATATTTTATTGTTATTAATTAACCAGATTGACTGCTCGAAAACAAGGTCAAACAACCTCTATACAACGAAAGGAGACTGTGACCACACAAAAGGCCACACCTCTTGCTCTTCCTACCATCGAATAAAAATGTATCTATTTCATTTTTGCTTCGGATTAAGGCATATGAAGAGATTCGAAATTCAACCTAATGAGATCCTCTTAGACATCTCTTGGATTTACTGTATCTTCTGGTTGACAATCCCCGAAGTGATTTACTTCGGTTTCAGTGAAAACGTGCTAAGCTTATGTCTGTAATAAAATGGAAATCATCATATTAGAGTAGCATTCTTACTACTAGTTCAAACGAATTATTAAAACCTCAGCTACTTATTCTTGCATTATATATATATATATA